ATGGGGGAGTGAAAGAGAAGAGGGTAGATGCAACATCAGAGGGGCCATTTACAAGTGAATGGGGGTAAGAATGGAGCAGTTTGTGGGCTCAACTGGCCTCAGAAGGAGGTTTACAGATGTGTGAGGGGACGCTCCTCATTGTTTAATTAAGCAGAAAGTGGATCTTTTCAAAAGCAATTTTGCACAGGGACTGGAAGGGATGGGGGGAGAGGAGGGCAGTGGAGAGGGGATCAGCAAACAGGCCCCAGAGCAGAGAAAGGAACAGCTGGCCCCGGAGAGGCTGGGAAATGCATGCTAAGCAGTTTAAAGCTCCAGGGAGCTCCCTCCAGCTCCTGCCCTCCCAGGCCTGCCACTGTTTAATACAATGGCAGGGCAGAGGAGAGGGACAGGGTGAGGTGAGACAGACACATCTCCCCCTGGGGGCCAGGGCAAGTAATGCCCACGCTGGGGCAGTCTATCCCCCAATGGTTTGTTGCTCCAGGCCACTGACCAACCACAGGCTGGGAGCCTTGGGCAGAAGGGATCCTTGGTGCATAAAAGCCAGCTCTCAGCTCCACAATGCCCAACACTGGTGGTTGCCTACTACCCCCGGCCAATCAAGGAGGTGCCCTGTTCCCCGGAGACAGATGTTAAGATGCCCCCTACATGTCCAACTTCTCACTGGATCAGCTGCTCTCTGCTTCCCACAACTGTATGCTTGCATCTGGAAGCAACTTTACCAAACCGTACATGTCACATAAATAATCAGCTCAGTAAACACCAACCTCCCGTTTTACAGATGGGCAAAGAGAGGCCCGAAGAAATAAGTGATTTGCCATGGTTCACTGCCCTCCTCTCACCTCCTTTGGCCTTGCCCATCCTCTTCTCCCAAGCTGGCTGGGTTGGAAGCTCTGCCCTGGCCCAGCACCCAGGGCCTTGGAGTCCCCTTGTTTATGAGACTGGTCACAGTCCATAATCTTATGGCTGCTATTTTCTTTGCTGGAGTCTCCAAGACCTGCTTGGCCAAGTGGCAGCCCCCAAGCTGGGAAGGCTGCCAGACAACAGATCTGGGCACAGGCTTGGGGGAAGAGTAAGATTCCTAGCAGCGCCCGTTGGGCTCCTGAGTGCCAGGGTAAGGCCTGGCAGCTGCCAACTGGCTCTGTGACTGTGATGTGACCTATGCTGCTGGGCACAGCAGGGCAAAAACGGGAACCAGAGGCAGATCCAGAGCCAAGTGCCCAAAGACTGAGCCAACAGGCCATTTCAGCTTCCCTGCCCGGCCCTGCCTCCTTTTCTTTCACCCCAGAGAGGGGAGGCCAGCCCCAGCCACCCGCCGAGCAGTGGATGCAGGATGAGGAATTTAAGACCTGGGTCTTAGCTCAGCTTCCCTACTTGAGTAACTCTGGACAGGTCACTCTCTCTCTCTGCGGTTTGGTTTCCTTGATGATAGATAATATCAACTGGGGTCATTATAAAAATCAAAGTAGCTGCTGAAGGCAGGAATAAATGAATCACTGAATCAAAGTGCAGAAACTGGAAAATATATTGCTGGTGTAAGAGGTTACTTGATTTAGGGAGCCTCTCAGGACAAATGATGATGGGTTGGTGGTGATCCAGAAACCTGGTTCTGAATGCCAGCTCTGCTGGTTAATAACTATATGACATGGAATAAGATCCATAACATGCTGGAGTCTGGATTTCATTTTTTAAAATGGGAGTAATAATGGCAGCTACAGCCTAGGAATCTGTGACAATTATTTGCCCAACCACTTGGAACTAAGTGGGGCTTTGCCTACCATGCCAGATTCAGCCCCTTAGGAAACTGGCCATCCTTTGGTTCCCTGATCATCCTGAGGTCTTTTACCAGGAGGCCTTCACCAGAGCTGTCCCCTCGGCCTGGAATGGGCCCCATGTATCTCTGCTTGCCCTCTAAATTATTAGACATCTTCTTTGCATCCTTCAGATCTTTGCCTCAAAGTCACCTCTTTTAAGAGGACTTCCCTGACCACTTGTCATCTTTTTCAAAGCAGCTTTCTGCTCTCCTCATGCCAACGGCTACCACCTGTACAGTCAGACTTTTATGTCTTACTTGTCTGTTGTCTGGCTCTACTGCCATTACACTGTGAGCTCCATCAGGGCAAGAACCACATCTGTTTTGCTTAACACCAAATACAGAGCAATTGGTACAATGCCTGGCACAAAGGTGGTACCCAAAAACAAGATGTATGGGGAAATGACAGCCTCTTTAACAGCTGGTGCTGGCAAAACTGGACAGCTACATGTAAGAGAATGAAACTGGATCACTGTCTAACCCCATACACAAAAGTAAATTTGAAATGGATCAAAGACCTGAATGTAAGTCATAAAACCATAAAACTCTTGGAAAAAAACATAGGCAAAAATCTCTTGGACATAAACATGAGTGACTTCTTCATGAATATATCTCCCTGGGCAAGGGAAACAAAAGCAAAAATGAACAAGTGGGACTATATCAAGCTGAAAAGCTTCTGTACAGCAAAGGACACCATCAATAGAACAAAAAGGCATCCTACAGTATGGGAGAATATATTCATAAATGACA